TGTCCACCTATCCTTCACCTCGTTCCAAAATCACTTTCTGCCAATGGCTTCTCCAGGTCAGATTTCTTTTCCTCTGAGGATCAGAATGGCGGCTCATCTGCGCAGTTATGTTGAGAAGAGCATCCTATGAATAATGAAGTCAGTGATGAGCGTGTCAACGGGTCTAAGTCTCTCCGCGCGGGGGATCCATAGAGGTCATAAAGCGCGAGTCGGCTAATGTCTCAGCTAATAGCTAAGCCGTCAGTAAAAAACTCTTTAGTAGCGCTCGGAAACGAATAGATTGCTTTCAGACGTCAGACCCATGGGCAGTGATCGAAGTGGACATCGAACGTCTCGGACTGGATGGCCAGGATCTCAGGCCAGGATCCGTCTGTAACGATCTCTTCACCATTAGGTGCGCAATTAGGCAATCTCCGGCAACAATAACAGGAAATCAAAGGCAGTCTTCGCCGCACATCCTCATGAAGACAAACCTCGAAGGGAATTATTGGAACTTCAAACTCAATTTTTTTTCAGGATTCCCTGCGACGGTTCTCAAAACGTGACGAAACTGCGATCGAAGTCGAATTGGTTGCTCCTAGAACTGCGCAGTGATCCGTACTCAGAAAGCTCTGTCACTGGTCCTCTCCTCAGACACAGATTAAGGCGAACGCAAACCGGTGAGTCAGCTATCAGGGGGTCAGAAATGGGAAATGTCTGGGGATAGGGTAATGGCTGCAGAGCCGTAAATGGCCTGAGGTCATGGTCTATCTCTTCTCCTAATCGAGTTGAGTCGGCACCACCGCCATTTCAATCAGCAACTGCACAAATTGGCGGCGAACCGAATTGCGCTCTCAAACGACTTCCACCACAGGAAACAATGCAATATCTGAACGAGTGACCCTTCTCAAAATGGGATTCGTCCCCTTTGAGCCCATCTGGGGTTCGGCTAATACAACTGTACTGTCCATTTGTAGGTGTGCGCATCTATTCGGAAGGAATGACGTCTCCAGCCTTCTTGCCGTCTATCGCCGCCATCGCCTTAGCGTTGATTGTTGTTAGGATATTTTAATAGATGCTTTCAATGTTCTCAATTTGTATTTGTTTGTTATGCAGTAACTATTTCCTCACGGGGGGAGCACAATCCAGGAGCTCGGGGTGGCAGTGAATCATCCCATATGAGCTTGTTTTGTGTTCGAAATATCTGCCAGCAGCTTACATTCAATATTATGGTCTTCTTCTCCGCTCCTCAGGTTCTCTCATTTGCATCTCACTGCGACTACCTTCGCTTCCTCTGCTGCTCCGATTACGAGCTTCCTTTTCTCATTCGATCGTCAAATGCAAGTCATTTCTCTTGTCCTGTGCATTACCAGTAATTCATTATATTGTGCATTAATCGTATTCATTGTGTGTACTCGTACCTCCTAAGGCAATAATCGAGAAGCATTCTATAGCATTATTAACTTACAGAATTAAATATGAATTGCGGCTTAGTTTTGCTATATGCCAGTCAGAAGCTTTGGAGAAACAGCCATGCATCGTAACGTGGCGAATATGGATGTAGGGCAGCTCCGTGTTAGAAAGCACTGCTCACGATAGAAACGTTTTGTTAGATTTTCCCCTCTAGACCTGTGGCTCCCACGAGTTGTACATGGGAAATTGCTGGGCCGAAAAATGAGAGCAAATTTATCCTAGGGGGATGCCTCAAAAGCCATTTTTATCGTGCATTGCTCCCCTAAGATGGAATCAGATGCAACGTGTGCATGCTGAACCCTTAATTACTAAAATATAAAGTGGAGGTTGTAGTCAAGAAGTCACGCACTACAGAAATTGACGTTCTGAGCAACAATTTAAACTTCTACATGTCTTAAAGCAAATAGCAAGCTTCTTTCGGTGTTATTTCCATCTGAGGCACGGCTAGTAAGCCGGTTGGGGCTGCTAGAACCGAATTTGAATCAGGAACATTTCAGTTATAGTGAAGCTTCCATCACTGTAGCATTCTCATCCAAAAAGTACATATTGATTAGCCAGAATCTAACAAAAATGCAATCTGAGACGAAGTACACAGCTTTTCGTAGTTCTCAAGAGATGCAATAAAAAGA